ACATCCCTGTGAGGCCACCAGGCAAGGTGCACTTAATTTTTATAGTTAAGGAAACAAGGCCATACAAGCCTTTGCTGTGCCAAAGCCTTTGCCATGGAATCAATTCCAACGCACAGTGATCCTGAAGTGCAGAGGGGAGCTGCCTCATGGGAACTTCCAAGGCTGGAACCTTTCTCCCATGGTGGAGCGGATAGGTCCTTTCAGTCGGCAGCTGAGTGTTTTATGTGCTGCACCACCGGGCTCCTCCTCAGACCCAGATCCACTGCGTCAGTTCTGACGAACAACAACCCCATACTGTCACTGCAGAGCTGGGGACCATAGATTTTTCAGTGGCACATTGTTCTGACCTTGGTATCCAGGCCTGCTGGTAGAATTGAACTTCCAACCTTTCAATTAGCGGTGGGATGAGGTAATCATGTGCACCAACCAGGGACTCTACATGTTTAAGTAGCTGTTATGACCTGTATTATTATATCATTATTACAAGTTGACTGAGGTGTCATCATTCATTTTCGGTTTTCTAGTTTTAATTTTTACTTTAATTGGCTTGCTTATAAAGTTTGTATATGTTGTGTTTCGCACTATGGTTCATTCACATTGTGTTTTATACCATCATTCTCATGCATTATGTTTTATAAAATTAATCACCATTGGACTATGCTCGTCATTACCCTGTCATTGCAGGTCCTGCAGGATCTTTCCCATTTCCTTCACCCCCTCCCTCCACCTCCCAAATTGTGCAACCCTGGGGTTTCACCCCTGCCCATCCTCATACATGTTTTACTGGTTATCTTTCTATTTTTACAATAATGGTCATATGATGTATTTGTTCTTATGAGACTGAGTTCACTCAGCATAATGTTCTCCAGTCCCTCTGAAGTAATGTAGTAGTTTACAAAATCATTGCTCCTGAGTGCTGCCTAGTATTCCACTGTGTGAATGTACCACAATTTCTCAATCCATTCCTTTTCAGTTGTACATTTGGGCAGTTTCCGTGTTATTGCGATGGCAAATAATGCTGCTATAAATACTGGTGTACAGATCTTCCTTTGTGTCTCAGTTCTAATTTCCTTGGGGTATATTCCTAGTAGTGGGATACCTGGATCAGGAATTGATGGAATATCAGTTGACATATTTCAGCAAAAAGATGCTGCCCTGGCCATGCTCACCAGATTGTGCCAAGAGATCTGGAGGAAAACTCTCTGGCCAACTGACTGGAAGAGATCCATATTTATTCCTATTCCAAAAAAAGGCGATCTGACAGAGTGTGGAAATTATTGTACAATATCACTCATATAACACACAAGCAAAATCCTGCTGACGATTATCCAGAAATGTCTGAAACAGTACATTGACAGAGGACTACCAGAAATAAAAGCTGGGTTTAGAAGAGGTTGTGGCACTAGAGACATTATCATCAATGTCAGATGGTTCTTGGCAGAAAGCAAAGAGTACCAGAGATCGATCGATCTGTCTATCTATCTATCTATCTATCTATCTATCTATCTATCTATCTATCATCTATCTATCTATCTATGTTTCATTGACTGTGCAAAAGCATTTGACTATGTGGTCACAACAATTTGTGGTTAATCTTGAGAAGAATGGGAATCCCAGAACATTTGTATGTGCTTATGTGAAACCTATATGAGGACTAGGAAGTAGTCCTCAGAACAGAGCAGGGAAACACTGTATGGTTCAAAATCAGGAAGGGAGTACATAAGGGATGCATCCTGTCTCCATACCTTTTCAATCTATATACAGAAAATATCATTCAGGAGGCTGTGCTTTAAGAGGAGGAATGTCGCATCAGGATTGGAAGAAGGCTCATCAACAACCTGGGCTAGGCAGATGGCACAGCCTTGCTTGCTGAAACTGAAGAGGACCTGAAGCACTTGCTGCAGAAGGTCAAGAACTGTAGTCTTCAATATGGATTGAATATCAACATCAAGAAGACAGAGATTCTCACAACGGGGCCAATTGCAGGACCATGATGGATGGAGAAGAGACTGAGGTTGTTAACAGGTACAGCTAGCTCAGCTCCACAATCAACACTTTTGGCACCAGCAGTCAAGAAATCAAAAGACAAATTGCAGTATCTGAATCTGCTCTCAGGGACCTTTCCAGAATACTGAGAAGCAACGATGTCAGTCTAGAGACTAAGGTGCACCTGATCCAGGCCATCATCTTTGCAGTTACTTGCTATCCATCAGAGATCTGGACAAAACTAAGGATGATAGTGAAAGAATCAATGCCTTTGTGTTGTGGTGCTGGAGAAGAGTCTTGAACATACCATGGACTGCCAAGAAAACAAATAGGTCTGTCTTGGAGAGGATTAAAGCAAGTTTCTCCTTGGAGCTTGGATTTTGAAGTGGGACCAATCTTTGGAGAAGAACATCATGCTTGGAAGAATGAAGGGGCAATGCAGGACAGAAAGACCCCAGATGAGATGGATTGATACAGTAACTAGGAAAATGGAGGTAAGTGTGTCAGAATCAGTGAGACTGTCTCAGGACAGGGCAGGCTTCAGAGCTGTTATACATTGGGTCACTATGAGTCGAAGATGACTTGTCCTCACATAACAACAAAATTTCTATGTGCAACTTTTTGAGGAAATGTCATACTATCTTCCAGAGTGGTTATACCATTTTACAATCCCTCCAACAGGTATGAGAGTTCCCAACTCTCCACATCCTCTTCAACATTTATTACTTGATGCCCTGCTAAACTTTGCCACTGCTACTGAAGTAAGATGGTATGTCATTGTGATTTTGATTTGCATCTCTTATTGCCAGTGATTTTGAGCATTTCTTCATGTGTCCATTGTCCATCAAAATATCTTTCGCTGTTAAATGTCTTTCCATGTCTCTTGTCCATTTTTAAATTGTGTTATTGGACTTTTTCTTCTGGAGGCCCAGGAGTATTCTGTAACCTTTTGTTAGGAGACCCTTGTCTGAGATGGTATTGTCAAATGTTTTTTCCCAGTTGGTAGGTTTTCGTTTCACCCTGTTGGAAAAAGTTTTTGATGCGCACAGAGATTTAATTTTTAGAAAGCCCCATTCATCAATTTTATCCTCTCCAAATGGTGTATTTCTGGCTGTATTTGTCAGCTTTTTTATACCATAGACTAGGCCTTGTAAGCTTGGTCCAAGTTTAGGTCTTATGAACTTTTAGGATTTTAGACTTTACTTGCAGGTCTCAGATCCACCTTGAGTTGATTTTTTTATATGATGTGAGATGCCTCCACCTGTTCTGGGCAGTCTGTCTTTACAGAACACTGAGCTCTGGTGGCGTAGTCCATCAAGATTCGAATCAACCAGCCTCTTCTGTGTGAACTACTGTGTCAGAAACCTACTGGAGAGTCTGCTATGGGCTGGTTCCAGCTCAGCTGCAGTGAGAGAGTCTCACAGACAATGGCTGGTCAGAGCCTCTTCCTTTGCCAGCAGTAGAGTATATAGGAAGACTGTAGCAACACATGCATTCCATATAATAGAACCCTTTCCAGGATCCAGTTTACCCTGTAAGGCTTCAGGTGGACCTGATGTTCACCTCACAGATATGGCCCTTTAATAATCACCATCTCAGGATGAACATTTATCTTGGGAAACCTCTAAGTTGAGTCGGAACTCAGCAAGGGAGAACAATGCCTTGCCTAGCAGTTCTCCTTACAGTCTACTTAGTCTTAATCTATTTCAGGGCTTCTCAGCCTTGGCTCTTGACATTGGGTTCTTTGCTGTAGATGCTGTTCTGTGCGTTGAGCATCCTTTACATCCTTTACTTATACATCCTTTACTGTCCCCTCACCCTTAATTGTGAACACCAATATCTGTAGATATGACCAAATGTACCTGGTGGGGGAAGATTTTCCAGAGCTCTTTTCTGTTGATTGCCAAAGATCAAATTGACAGCACCCCATTTAAAAACACCAAACGCTGCTGTCTCGCCACTGCTGCCTCGTGGAGTCCAATGTATGCAGAGTACAGAGTGCCGCATAGGATTTCCAGGTTTCTTTCAGAAGTATGTCACCAAGAATTTCTTCTGGGGGGCCTCTGGGTTTATTCCAGCCTCCAACCTTTTGGTTAACAGCCCAGTCCTGAAAAGAAGACCCTCGGGGATTCCTTTGAAGGTCAGAACCACATTTAGTTGTCTTAGAATCACTGAGAACTAGGGAGCTCTGGTGGCTTAGTTGTAAGGAATTGCACTGTCAACCTAAAGGTACGTGATTTGAATCCACCAGCTGCTCTTTGGGAAAAAACGATAGACAATCTCCTATGTGATTTTACTGCCTTTGAGAACCTGCTGAAGGTTCAGCTATGGGTTGCTTCCAACCCAACAGTACAACAATAACAATAACCTAGGACTTGGCTGCCTTGCAAGTGATGATGAGTATTTGATGATCAACAGTGACTCTTTACCAGCAGGTATTTTACAATTGCTTGAGCTTTCTTCATAATGCTTTCTTCATTTCCCCTTTTTTTCTGGGGTACACATATTCAGAGCCCAACAGTGAAGTATGGTTGGGCAAACTCATTGCAGTCAATTCAGAAGCTACTCATACCTGGCCCTCCAGTGGGTCTTCAGAGACTATAAATCTCATGAGAAGAAATTGCCCATATTTCTCTCTTGAAACTGCTGGTCCAACCTGCTGCCTTTAGGTTAGTAGCATAATTCTTTATGAACTACATCACCATAGTCCTGTCCTTGTACTGCCCCAGCTAACATGGTTTGGCTGTATAGATAAGACATGAAGAGTGCTGTAGTGGAAAGGAGAGTATCAGTGACTAAATCTAAGTAATGAATATTTGCACGATGCTGGAGGAAATATGATGACTAATTTGTTTTCATGTTGTGTGTGTGTGTTTTTATCACCAGAACAGGAATATTTGCTGCTCATGCCTGAGTCCATGTGTCCACACCTTAAACCATTGTATACCTGGTAGTGGAAGTGGTGGTAAAGGGACAGCAGGAACTGATTTTGGAGAACAGCTGCTTCAAGGTTGATGGCTGGCATGTCACGGAAACCCCCCAGCATGTACTGGTGTGTGGGACCAGAGGGGTCAGCTGTGTGTCCAGAGCGTGCCATGGAGACCCAGCACGGTAAGGGCCGGGTTGACTGAGCGTGAGCCTGGTATACCTGCTTGCCCTGAGGACAAGGGATTTCCACCCAGGGGGTTTTCATCATGAACCATACTTCAGATTCTTGCTGAAATTTTGAAAATTGAGACCCATTGTACAAAACTTATTGTGATCTTAAGAACTAAAGGATCATTTCATGTTGGTTAAAAAAGATTTTTTAAAATGAGGATTTGGTTTAGGTTCTTGTTTCAAAAATAATACATGTTTCTTTATATTTGTTAAATAATATATTTTTTATTTTAATTGATTTTAATTAAGGTTTACAGAGACTTTGGATTTCCATTCATTCATTGTTGCACTTTTCTCCTTGCCCACCCCTCCCCCCCAATTCACTTTTCTCTTTGAAAAGTAAAAGAAAAAATTCTTTCATTGTTATTCAATCCCTCCCCCCAAGTCCACTCCACTATGCTACCTTCTTTCTGGACTCCTGTCATAACAATACTTGTTTATTTTTAAAAATTTGAAAAAAGACAGAAATAAGGAAAAACGTCTCCTAGATGGTATGTTCTTTTGTAACCTGCTCTTCTGTGATTGAGGGCTCTTATTATAGCTTTATTGTACTTGTGCAGTATAGAGTTGTAATTCAGCTTTTCTTCTCTTAACTTTCTCTCAGTAGTAGCTGGACATCCGGCTCCCGGTTGTGCAGTCTGTGCTTTCTAAAACCTGTATCTTATTGATGCATGTATTATATTAAATTTATTTATGTCAGCAGCCAGAAGTAAAATCCTTTCACGTGTAAAGTCTTATCTGGAAACCCAGCCTGTGTAGCAGATGCAGTGAGCTTGTTTGAAGGGCAGTGTTGTAGGGGTAGATGTTTTCATTCCCATTCTCTGAGGCTCTCCTAGACCCTGAAGCACTGCAGATGCCAAGTAACAAGTGTTGTGTGCTGGATTGCATCTTCACAAACCTCAATGCAGATGTCAGGATCAGATCCAGGGCACATTACACTCAAGTCTTATGTCAGGGCTGTAAGCAACTGCTCTTTGCATTTTCTATAGTGAGTGTGCATTACCTGTCTTTTTTGTCATTGGCATTTTGTATTACTTTTGCAGCCAAAATTTAATATTGCACTTTGCTTATGAAATAGTTATTTCATTGAGTGCTGTTGTTTGAGTGCTTTGCTCTCACGGGCTGTGCTGTGTATGCTGGTAAGCATAGTCAGATTTCTTGCAGCTTGATTGCTGATACGTTCCTTTTGGAACACAGGTAGTCGTTTGATCAGAGGAACCTAAGGCCCAGTCTCTTGCAGGACACCCTCTGGGCTGCATTTCCAACAGGTGAACTGCATTTGTTCTCCTCGGGGTTTCTGAATTCACGAGGGCCCAACCTCCCCTGACCTCCAAATCCCCCAAAATTCACCCCAGTCTACTGAATAATTCTGTCTCTGTAAAAGAACATTCTCTACCAGAAGGAAATTTTGATGTAGAAGTAGCTTCAAAAATTGTAGAACATAATAAACATGCTTTGAAAAGTATACATTTTTTATTGTGGTTTCTAGCAATGAAAAAAAGATTATAATAAAAATAAGGGGTTTTGTGTTGTGGTTTTTTTTTTTTTTCTTTTGGGATTTCTTGTGATGGTAAACTCTCCATGGGGTGATTGTAGCTCCTGGTACCAGGTACATGTGAATCAGAGGAGAGCCAGGAGTTTTCATTGGCAGCCTTTTCAGACAGAGATCCCCAGACCCTTATACTCAGGTACCTCTGAGTAGTCTTGAACCTGCAACCTTTCTCCTTACAGCCAGTCATGTTAACCATCTGCATCCTCCAGTCTAGTGGCATCAGAATCAGACTAAACGCATAAAGAAGACAGAATGAGGATCGGTCTAGAGCTGATTCATACGTGGTAAAGTCTGGACTGGCATTTTTACCAATCCTGACACCAACCATCCTACCTGCATGCTTTCTTCTCTGTTGAGTTCAGGAATTCATCGTGAGACCACACCGAACTCACAAACCATACTCCCAATGGTTGTAACTCAGGATCAGGATCAACTTGGATGTAACGGGATACAGTTGAGACAGGACGAGAGCTTTCTGATCTTCTCTTTTGCCTGTGCTGTGTGCGATAGCACCTGTAGCCTGGGCTGCGCTCCTGGGCCTTGCTCTTGATCACGCCCTGCCCAGTGCTTTACCTCTGCTGTCAGAGACTGTCAGGTACCCACTGGCACCACCTTACTTCCTCCACAAGCAGGCCTTCTGCAGGTGCCTCACCCCATGGGCCGGGAGTGCACTGCAGCTGTCTACCCAGCACTGGCCCCCGTATCCTTTTGTCCAGTGCTATCTCATGCTCTCTCTGAGTTAGAGACCCCTCTCAGGGTGTAGGCAGTTCTCAACGCAGGGACCCTGAGCCCAGAGGATATGTTCTGCAGCGGGTTCTTCTGGGGAGTAGTGAGCTCCCCCTAAAGTTGGCTGCTGTTGTTGTTATGTGCCATCAAGTTGCCTGTGACTCATAGCAACCCTATGCACAATAGTTCTGAACTCTGCTCTATCCTGAGCCAGTCTCGTCTTCGACACACCTATCCCTATTGCCCCAGTTCCTGTGTCAGTCCATCTCATCTGGGGTCTTCCTCTGCTGTGCTGTCCCTCTGCCCTTTCAAGCATGATGTCCTCCAGGAACTAGTCCCTCTTGGAAACATGACCAAAGTGTGTCAAGTGGAGCTTCAAAAATCATTGCCTCCAAGGAGTAGCTTGGTTTCACTTTATGCAGGACAGACCTGTTAATTCTCTTGGCAGTCCATGGTATATTCAATACTTTTCTACAACACCACTCTCAAAGGCATCAATTCTTCTTCTATCATCCTTAGTCATTGTCTGGTCTCTGATTGGCTTGTTGTTATTAAGTGCTGTTGAGTCGTAGGCAACTCATAGTGACCCTATGAATAAAAGACTTGGACACTTGTATAACTTTCATCTTTTCTCCAGGTTCATAGGGTTTCCGGAGGCAAGCTATTTCGGAAGTGGATGCCACTCCTGCTTCCAAGCTTGTTTTAATCAGGGAGCTCCACCAAACACTGTCCGCCAAGGGTAACCATTCTCGCATTTGAGACATCACTGTCACAATGTTCAGCTTCACAGCAGCCACGAGTAATTATCAAGTCCCACAAGAGTTTCAGACACCTCAGATTACCAATCATTTTAGATTACGGCGTAGTGAATAATTATTGCACAATTGCAAATCCTAGGCCAGAAGGGCCATATATAAAGAAAATCTTCTGCACTGTAATTGTCCAGGAATTCTATAAAATAAAAAACCAAACTCACTACTGTTGGATTGATTCCTGCTTGTGCAACCCCGCAAGACACAGGAGAGCTGCCCTATAAGCTTTCTGAACACACACGGAGTCTCGTCTTTCTTTCATGTAGTAGTTGGTGGGTTTGAATCCCTGATCTTTTGATTAGCAGCCCAGCTATTGACCTGCTGTACCACCAGGCCTATCCCAAGTGAATTTTTTCACATTCCTTTCTCTTTTGATCTGTAGAAATTTGTGTTTTTCAGAGCTATTATCCTTTCAGAGACCACAGACCTGAGCATACCCCCACCTCCAGCGTGGGCCTCCTTTGGTTGCTTGTAGAGAGGAGGCCTGCTGGGTGTCTGTCAAGGAAAAGCGAATCTTAGGAGGGTGTGACCCACCTTGAACTCTTTAGCACTGTCAGCTTACCTCAGTGGTGGTGGACATTTGAAAGCTATGACATATTTAGGGTGTGTCAGTCATCAGGAGGAGAGTCAGTGAGAACATACTGGTGCTACTGGGCAGTCTGCTCCAACAACATGTCATTAGATACTCCATGCATCTGCGATAAGTCAGAAGACGCAGGGAGTAGAGAAACCTGTCCTCCTAGCTGAGTGAGGCACTGAAAAAGCAGCCATGTGAAGACATCCTTATTCATTTTTCTGTGTTCAGTCATAACTTCTCACACTAGCAGCTTGCATCTCAGAGCACTGTCTTCCACTGGATCTGGCATGCTGGGCTAGAAACTGCTGAGATAGCAGAAGGAACACTCTGTTCAGCATTCAGGTTTTTATGAACCTCTTTCCAGTGTCTCCTCTTGTGGTTTTGTTTGTGCTCTTTCCTATCATTACAGACAGCCTCATCCTGGAGAGGGTGAAACCAGGTTGCTCCTTGGAGGCAAAGATTCCGAAGCTCTGTCTGGCGTACTCTGGGCATGTTTCAAGGAGGTACCAGTCATTGGAGAGGGATATTATGCTTGGGAGGATAGAGGGACAGCACAAGAGAGGAAGACCCTCAATGAGATGAATTGATTCAGTGACGGGGGTAATGGGTGTAAGTGTGTCCGAGACAATATGGTTGGCACAGGATAGAGCAGGGTTTAAGACCGTTGTACATAGGGTCATTATGAGTTGCATGTGACTTGATGGCACATAACAACAATAGCATCAACATAGAGAGTGATCAGTTGGCCCAGTGGACAGAAGGCGATGCTACCAAGCCAAAGGTGGGTGACTTTTAATCCGCGACCCTCTGGCCTGTCTTTCATTGTTTTGGTTCAAACATTCCTCTAGGTCGTATAGCCCTGGTGTGTCCACTTGCCGTACAGCTGTAACTTGTGGTTGCTGTGAGGTTGAACACTTGTGAGGCTGATGTGTCAAATGTGTTAATGGTTGGTTACCCATGGTGGACAGTATTGGGTAGAGCTCCCCGATTAAAACAAGCTTGGAAGCCGGAGTGGCATCCACTTCCATAATAGCTTGCCTCCAGAAACGCTATGAACTTGGAGAGAGGATGAAAGACACACAAGTGTTGAGGACTCTCCTTCATAGGGTCATTATGAGTTGCCTGTGACTCAAAGGCACTTAACAACAACAACAGGCTTAGCAACAGTCCACAGACACACCTCTGTCTGTCATTTTGACCTTTGTGATTAGGTGCCTGGGTGGTGGTGGGCCAGCCTCCCACCTCCTTGCCCCACCCTGTTCTGAGAGACTCTAGGTAGCAACCTTCTTCTCAGTTCTGAGAAGCAGAAATGTGAAGCTAGCTCCCCCTGGCTTCAGCCCTCGTGCACCCCGCACTGGGGAGCCTCCTTCATGTGCAGAAGCAGAGCAGCCTTGCCTGGCAGTTCTGTGCTTGCTGGGGAGGATCCCAGGCCTGCTGATTGCACAAGAGAGGTCTTCATCCCAGCCTTCCCCCTGGCCCCCATGAAGCGCCTGGGAGTGCAGAAGTCTCTTTGTGGAGTGATGCCTGGTAAAATCCTCTAATCCCAGAGGGCTCTGAGCCTGTGCTGCCTCTGACTTGGGGAAGTTCTGTATGGAGACAGGGTTTTCACCCATATATCCACCTCATCTGTGCTATGTTTGAGGTGGTGAAGGTCCCGTGTTACCTTGGCTGCCTGCCATTCCCTGGTTTGGCAGCTATGATGTGGTAGTTCCTTTGATGAGGTTTGATTTCTTTTATGTGGTTTGCTACAAACAGCCAGGTGGTTCAGGGGGTATTTTGTGGGAGTATGGCCTGTGTTGAGTGCATAAAGAAGCTCACTCTTCACTTGGTGTCCTTCATGATGCTTCCTGCTCCTCTCCTTGTTGGTTCCTTGGGCTCTCTGCCTGACCCTCTGCACCAGCTTCTGCAGGGTACATTCCTGGAATGGCCAGCCTCTGTGCGCATGAGAGTTGCTTCCTTTGGATAAATAAATGTCTTTGTATGAGTATGTCCACACACATACATGTAGGGATCACCTCTCTGGTCCAGCAGAGGCTCCCAAGAGAAAGATGAGCTATCTCCTCTCGGTTTACAGTCATGGAGGCCCTTTGTAAGGGAGGGTCAGCTATGAGTATGTTCTGACTCAGTAGCTAAGAGTCAGAGGGGTATTTATATGTATGTATTATTTTTGTTGTTGCTGTTCTCTTGCCACCAAGTCGACTCTGACTCGTAGTGACTGAACAGCAGATCTGAATCCTGCCGTGTCCTACCCCATCCCCACAATCTCATCATGCTCAAGCACATTGTTAGAGTTGTTGAGGGTTTTCCTTTTTCTCTGACACCCTCCACTTTTTCCAGCATGATGTCATTTTTAAGATTTGCCCAAAGTATGTGAGAGAAAATGTCACCATTTTTTCCTCTAGGGAGCACACTGGATGCACTCCAGGTTTGTTTTATTTTTGGCAGTCCACAAGATATTCAGTGTTCTTTGGTCTTCTTCTTCATTGTCCACTTTTCAGAACCCTAACCCTTCAGATGCATAGGAAGCTTTAAAAATACCTTGGCTTGGGAGCTGCTCAGCAGTCGTGACTGTGTTACTGCGGATGAGGAATCAGGCATTGGGAGATCAACGACCTTGTCTGTGGTCACATCACTAGGGCCGTACATTGAAGATAATGTCAGGAAGCTTCTACTTTGTAATTGTTGGCCATCATGATAATCCTGTATTTGAAATGGAGTTCTTATCAGCTGGAAAAGCAGAATCCAAAGATGATCATCGTCACCTGAACCAGTTCATCGCCCATGCTGCTCTTGACCTTGTAGATGAGAATATGTGGCTGTCTAACAACATGTACTTAAAAACTGTGGATAAGTTCAATGAGTGGTTCGTCTCAGCATTTGTTACAGCTGGTCATATGAGATTTATTATGCTTCATGATATAAGACAAGAAGATGGAATAAAGAATTTCTTTACTGATGTCTATGATTTGTACATAAAGTTTACAATGAATCCATTTTATGAGCCCAATTCTCCTATTCGATCAAGTGCATTTGACCGGAAAGTTCAGTTTCTTGGAAAGAAACACCTGTTAAGCTGAAATTGAACCAATCAGCAGTAAGCAGCATCACCATGACAATGGGATGCATACTCAGGAATGTGTGCTTTGTAAGTAACTTGATTAAATTGCCTGGAAAACATGATGTCACAGTCTCTGTTTATCTCAGCTTCATGTAACTGTTTTTGCAGTCTTTGTTTATCTCAACATGTAATTCCTTTTCTATTTAAAAATAGTATCTTGTTTCTTGCCAGTTATTATTAATACTTCAATATTTGTTTATGAATGATGTTATTTGTAAAAAGTTCCTTACCAAGAATCTTAAAAGGTTTTTATTTTAGAAATTGAGATAGCTTTTGACTTTCCCGATGCAGATAGCTTTATCTTGATAATCTCCACACAAGCGTCTGAGCACTAATCTGGTATAGATTTCAAGTTAAAAGCTTCTGCTGTGGGGAATGAAGTTGACAGCTGGCACATGTGGTTTTGTTTTTATGTCTAGTGACAGTGTCAAAGTGTAGAGGCAGTGCACAAAATAGGAAGTACCTGAAGTGGCCGAGACAAAGGCTTCAGTGATGCTAAATGTCACATGGCTGCTACCTATGTTAAAACTAGTGAACCTGCTAGGGTTCCAGAATTTATGATACATGCTTGGGAATGCTGTTCCTCTAGACTATAATAACTTTCTGTTCTTGTATCACCCATCCTCAGATAGTAAACTAGGAATTTAGTCAACCTGCTATTATCCGTGCTAGTTAAGATATGAGTCTATTTGCAGAATTGCATACAAAGGAAAGATTGGATTATGTGAACATTTGCCAGTTTAGCATCCCAGGCTATCCCAGAGATGGGTGGATAGCTTTGGTCTTGTATTATAATAAGGAGGGAGAAGGGTGTCTTATTGTGTTAATATCAGATATCCAGTGAATGGCAAGTAACCTCCTCACCAGGTATTTTCTGAACTGGTAATGATCATTTGAAAATTTTACTGCATTCTGAATAACATTTGAATTGGTTTAACTCTTAAGCTTGGAACTATATCCTTCTGTAAAATTGTTCTGAATAACATTTGAATTGCTTTACTCCTAATTTTGGAGCTATATCCTTCTGTAAAATTGTTACCGTTATTGTTATTTATCCTGTATATTTATTTGATCTTTAAATAAAGATGTTTGTAAAAAAAAAAAAAAGTACCTTCTCTTGCATCAGATGCACCTTAGTCTTTAAACTGGCATCTTTGCTTTTTAGCACTTTGGAAAGAGGTCCTTGACAGCAAATTTTTCCATTGCAGTATACCTTTTGCTTTCTTGACTGCTGCTCCTATAAGAGGTGTTGCCTGAGGATCTAAGTAGTCAAGTGAAATGAAAGAGAGAGAGATGGATCTTCATTTCATTTTATTTATATATATATATATACACATTTGATATTTAGATATATTAGATATATGTTTGTTGCCATGTGCTGTCTAGTCAGCTATGACTCATAATGACTTTATACACACTAGCTCTCACCCTACTTTATCCTGAGCCAATCTCTCTATCTCCTGACATGCCTACACTCATTACCCTACTTATTGTTTGGTCAGTCTCATCTGAGGTCCTCCTCTCCTGCGCTTGACCCTTGACCCTTCTGAAACTGAGGGCCTGAAGCATATGCTGCTTAGGGTCAAGGAGTGTAGTTTGCACTCTGGATTGAAGCTCAACATTAAGAAAACAAAAGATTCTCACCACTGGGCCAATTTGCAACATCATAACAGAAGGAGAAGAGATTGAATTTGTTAACAATATTAGCTTGTAGCTCCACAATCAATACTCTTGGCTCCAGCAGACAAGAAATCAAAAGACAAATTGCATCAGGAAAATTTGCTGCCAGGTACCTCTCAAGAGAACTGAAGAGCAAGAGATTAAGGTGCATCTGAGCCAGGCCATAGTCTTTATAATTAGTTGCTATTCATCAATAAGCTGGACAATGAGCAAGGATGACAGAAAAGAATTGATGCCTTTGAGGTTTTTTGCTGGAGAAGAGTACTGAACATAGTATGGACTGTCGAGAGAGCTTATAACTCTGTCCTTGAGAAGGTGAAACCAAGCTGTCCTTAGAGGGAAGGATTTTGAGGCTCCATCTCACATACTTAGAAATGTAGCCAGGAGGGACTATTCTTTGGAGTTATTTATATATACTGTTGTTGTTGTTGTTATGTGCCATCAAGTTGCTTGTGACTCATAGCAACCCTATGTACAAGAGCACTGCCCCTTAAAGGACAACTGGATGAGAAGCTCGCCATGGGAAACAGGGAATAAATCTGCCCATAGATGATCAACAGGAAAGACATCAATGGGGAAATTGAGTTGGAGGTAACACTTTAAGCATAAATATAAGGAACTGCCAACAATCTATGCAAACACAAAAGAAACTTTCTTGCATATACATAGAAGAGCTTAACACAATGTCAAGAAAGCAGCTGGCAGGACCAAACATTGTGGAAAAAAACCAAAACAAGCCTCCTAAAAAGCAGATCAGTTTGCAGGCCCAGTGAATACCCTATAGACTGTGAGGCAGAATAACTATATTAACATGAAGTTGCATAAACAGTTACTGAAGAAGTTATGACATATGGAAGAAAGAATTGAAACCATAAATAAAAAGGCTCAAAAATTTTTTAAAATTCATCACAAGACAGAGAGGGTACAACCAGTATGTTGTTGTTGTTGATTGCCGTTGAGTCAAGCATGACTCATATTGACTCTGTGAACAAAAGACCTAATGCTTTTCCATAACTATTGTCATTTCTCCAGTTCATTGTTTCTCAAGGCATGTGGTTTAGGAAGTGGATGCCATTCCTGCTTCCAAACCTGTTTTACAACTGGGAGCTCCACCAGACACTGTCCACAATGGGAAACCATTGTGGTATTTGATACCCCAGTGGCATAAGGTTCAGCATCATAGCAAACCTAGGTTACTTCATACAGCACATTGATAAAGAGTAATGTGCAAAGTGGAAGAGTGTTCCTCCAGCTATAACAGCACTGGTCTCGTTTAGCAATGGTTAAGTGAATATGACAAATAGAGTAAGCTTTGCACAAATAACCTGAACTCTGTTCCATAGCTAACATCATTTCTGTATATTTAGAGAGTTTTGAGAGTTTGTAGGGTTTCCAGAGAAATCTAGTTTAGGAAGTGCATGCCACTCCTGATACCCAGCATGAATCAATCTGGAAACTCATCCAAACATTATGCATAATGGGTAACCATTATGGTATTTCACATGACTATGGAACTGAAATGCAAAAGTTGGGAACAGAGAAGAAGAATCAGTAGTCAGAAAACATGGGCTTGGTGACAGGAATGAAGCTGGAGATAGAATGACTGAATTTTGTAAAATCAATG